TTACATTACACATTTTAGGTAATATAATCAGATTACTTTTAGATTAATTTTGACCTAACTCATTTATCACTTTGATTTAAATATTGTACCATATTGATATAAAAATACAAAGAGTAAGAATATATATTCCATTCATTGTAATTAACAACATGAGGTGCATTAAACATTAAATAGCATTACATCAAGGTTTCCCAAACTAGGGTTCATAAAGGAACTGAGTTTATTTAATTTAATGAAAAGCTAATAATTCATTAAATCATAAAAATGTAAAAATAAATAATTTTAAAATAAAACACTTACTAACCAAGGTTTCCCAAACTAGGGTTCGTAATGGAACTGAGTTTAATGAGTTTAATGAAAAGCTAATAATTCATTAAATCATAAAAATGTAAAAATAAATAAATCACTTTAAAATAAAACACTTACTAACAAAATGAAATATTTTATTTGTTTACCTGCATGTCATGTGACCATTAACCAATGTCAGAGAACCGTGAGCATGCAAATGTGATTTAATATTAAATATTTAATTTAAAATCTCAGGGGTACTTCAATTAAATATATTTGGTGAAAGAGGTTCAGATTACAAAAGAGTTTGGGAATGCCTGAATTACATGAACATTTTAATGTGTTTGAAAGAGAAAAGCCTTCCAAAGACGTAGAAATACATGATTAAATAACCTTTAATTAACGTGTTCATCAGTAGTTGATGCAATGTTGAAACACATCTTAAACCTGAACTACTTTTTGTAAATCCAGTGCTCAAAAGCTATGTGGCCACCTGACTAGTGACTGATCTCTGTGTGAATGTCCACAAAACTGACAGACTTTCTGAATATATATAAGCGGTAGGATATTTTAGGGAGAATCAATACATTTTGAATAATTTATTGCTATTGTGTGAATAATATGTAATCATGTAATCCATAAAAAAGTAACTGTATACAGTCTGACTACAATAATTTTTTTTAATGTAATTTAATCTAATTACAAGTACTTAATTTTTGGAATCTGATTATGTAATCCAGATTACATGTAAATCAGTCAGTGCACAATGGGGGCCAAGCATATTTTGTGGCGGGCCGGTGCCAACCCGTGCCACCCCTTTAGACACACCCCTGCTATAAAGCCTGCTATAAAACACACAACGGGGATTCATTTCTGAATGTATACACGTTTTGTATGAATCGGGTGAACCAATGATTAATTTGCCTGATCATAAAGAGAGCCAGTTACTTCATTCTTGAATCAGCATTTGAATGAATTGAATGAATGAATGAATCATTAAGACACTTACTGCCAACTACTGGCAGTTTTAGTTTCTTTAGATTAGTTTCTTATTATACTTTAGAGTTTAATTTCCATAAAATAAATATTTTTGTATTTCCATAATTATAATAATAATAATAATAATAATAATAAAAAACAATAATTAAATCTCAATCTCACCAGGACAGGGTTTGACTCTAATGGTCTTCTGTGTGTGACTGACGTGGTTCTTCACGCTGCAGCTGATGTCTCCATCAGTTCCCTCATCCAGATCAATGCTGCTGTTTCCATCCATCAGTGGATCTCCATTCAGAGTCCAGCTGTAGAGGAGCGGATCCCCCTCAGAGGAGCAGGACACCCTCATCACCCCACTGGAGGAGCAGATGATTGACACTTCCACTGAGCCAATAGGAGCTGGAGGGAGGAACACATGACAGTCACATGACAAACACAGGAGAATCTTGTTCTTCCACACTACTCATATTATTACTGGAGTCTGTAGTGTGTTTACTGTGTGCTACAGGAATAAAAACCTTCCCAGAGATTCAACTGATTCATCTGCATGAGAGTGAGATCTTTGGAGAACATGAGACTGGAATGAGTCTGATGAGAGAGTTTCTGTACCTTCAACAATCACTTGAAGATCTCTAGATGTTTCTGTGCCATCTGAGTTAGTGAGTCTTAATCTGTAATTCCCTGAATCTGCTCTGATCACACGGTTTATTATCATAGTCCCATTAATGACTGTCACTTCAGGTCTGTTATTGTAAAGATCACATTCCCTCATCCTGCCATATTTTACTCTACAAACTGGATCATCATGAGTGTTGTATATCCTCTTATGTAACCTCAGTTCATATTCACTAGTGTCCCGCGCCATCAGCAGATTGAGTTTGTGTCCCAGAGCTGCGTAACAGGGATCTGATTGATCAAATCTGCAGAACCGATCCAGACCTGAAGAACAAAACACGCACAAACACACACACACACAGAGACAATGAAATGTACCAAAATCTAAAGTAATCATTGATTAAAATCAGACATAAATTACATACACAAAAAAATTATTAAAATAATGTTAACTATTAAAATAACGCTAAAATAAATTCAAATTTACTTTCACTGTCTGCAAACACTTTATGCATGTTGAAATGCTTTATTCTGATAAAGCAAATTGTTTTTGTCCTGCACTTTCTGTCCAGTTCCATTAACCTGCGACATTTCTCTCTTTATAAATAATGTTATAATTTATTCTCCCTCATTACCCTTCTCATTTGCTCCCTATTTATTCTTCTTGTGTTTGCAACCCTGTGCTTTTTCGTTGTCTTATGTGTCTGTGTGCTCTTTGTTTAAGCCTGCTTTGCCTGTTCCTGTGTGGCCGTTAGTGATGGGCAAA